TAATATAGTAGTGTGATAATTTTATCATGTAGAGTATACCTGCTAGAGTTATTATTAAATAAATATGAAAGCCTTCATTAGAATTTATTCTTCTTGATTTGGGAATAGTGTTCTTGTTCCAGGATTTAAACTGTCATGATCCTGAAAGCAAAAATAAGTTAAATCAACCTTATATACTTTTCTTCATTTTCAACCTGAAGTTGAAAATATGTATGAATATAAATTTAAATAGTCAATTTGGCAGTACTTTTTTAGAAATTCAAAACTTGTATTTGGTGACTGTGTCGTCCTGCTTCTTTCACCACTTATGTATAATCTCTTTATCTTCTTTCTGTTTCTAACAAAGGACCGCTATTTCCACTAGAAACTGCTCTTCCTTCTGCATAGTGTTCTTTCCTCATTCCTTTGGTAGCTTTTAACCATTCAGATCTCAGCCCAAATGTCATGTCCTCAAAGGGAACTACCCAGAATAAGCCTAACAGTAGCCCCTCCCAGCAGTCTCTGAATCCTGTTACCCTACTTTATTTTACTTTATTCTAGTCGTAGCACTTGACATTATTCAAAAGTCTCTTATTTGTTCACTTGTTTGTTATCTCTAGCCCATTGTAGTATAAGTTTAATAAGAACAAGGACATTATCTGTCCATAACCGCTAATCCCAACACTTAGAACAGCACTTTGATCACGTAATAAGAACTTAGTACTTTGCTGTCATAAATCAGCGTCATGTACAGCCGTTTTAGAAGTATCTTAGTAGACCAAAGAGACCTTTTCATATAAGAAAATACCTGGGTACAAAATGTTTATGATCTTTCAAATGGAACTATTTCTCTAGAACTAAATATATAACACTGTAATGTTCAAAATACGCTAGAACCTGCTATAACCCTCTCCCTGAGTCCAAACTGAAATGTTTAGGTAAGACTCTGACATGACAAGCTTTATCTGGCACTAAACCCAAACCCACTTGGATAGGCTTTAGGACAGACACTTGTTCTAAATTTCATACTGTATTGGAATAAGCCGATATTGTAATAAGCCTCCTAAAAAATTCTTTCTGTGAACTAATCCTTTTTGCTTTTTTTGTTTTGTTTATTTGTAACTATTTGACAATGACTGTGTGAAGAGTATAACAACTATACTAAATGTCTTATAATAAAAGAAAAATAAGTTTTGAATTTTCTACAAAAATTTATAATCATGGATAACATCTGTTATTTCTGTTTTTTAAATTGTTATCTATATGATAAATTTTGATTAATTTTCAGTACTTGATCTATCAAAACAAACAAAAAAAAGAGGATTCAAATGACCATTATTAGGAATGAAAACGAGATATCACCACAGATCCTACAGTTCTCAGAAGGATAAAAATGGAATATGTGAACAACTGATTCATATGTGACTGTAAATTTGAACTGGACAAATGCCTTAAAAAACAAAACTTACCAAAACTAACAAGAGATGGGGTAAAAATCTGAATAGCCATTTATCAGAGGAATCAAATTTATCAAAAACTTTGCCACAAAGAAGTGTCCAGGCCCAGATGGTTGGAAATTCGTAATGGAAAATTGTATTTCCATATACTAGTAGCAAACAGTTGGAAAATGAAATTAAAATCAGTTCTCCTTTGGATGGTATTAAATAACAAAATAAATAGAAATAAATTTAACAAAAAACATGCACTGAAAACTTCAGACATTGCTGGTAGAAATTCAAGGAGGCCTCAATAAATGGAGAAATATATCATGTTAATGAATTAGAAGATTCAATAGTATTAAGATGTCATTTCTTCCCAAATTGATCTAAAGATTCAACTTGCCCAAGCAAAATCCCAATAGGCTTTTTTTAATAGAAATTGAAAAGCTGTTTTTAAAGTGTACATATAAAAGCAGAGGACCTAAAACACCCAAATCAATCTTGAGAAACAAGAACAAATCTGGATAACTCGCACTACCTGATTTCAAGACTTACTGCAAAGCTACAGTAATGGTAACATTGTGATATTAACCTAAGGATGGACAAGTAGATCAGTGGAAGATAATAAAGAGTCCACACTTACATGGTCACTTAATTTTCAAGAAAGGCACCAAATCATTTAATGGGAAAAGAAAAGTCTTTTCAACAAATGACTCTAGAGAAACTGAATAGGATATATATACGGGAAAAAAATTAGCCATAACCCCTGCCTCACACCATATACAAAAATGTATTTGAGATGGATTATAGATTGAAACGTAAAAGCTAAAACCATTAAGCTTCTAGGAAAAAACAAGAGAATATCTTCAGAATCTAGGATAGGCAGAGTTTCTCAAGGCACAAAAAGCAATAACCATAAAAGAAAAAAAAACTGACAAATTAGTTTTTATCAGAATTAAAAACTTTTGTTCAAAGACCCATTAAGAAAATGAATAGGCGAGGCCGGCCCGGTGGTGTACTGGTTAAGTGCATGCACGCTGCTTTGGCGGCCTGAGGGTTCCCAGATTCGGATCCCAGGTGCGTGCTGACGCACCACTTGTCAAGCCACACTGTGGCTGCATCCCATATAAAGTAGAGGAAGATGGGCACGGTGTTAGCCCAGGGCCAGTCTTCCTCAGCAAAAAGAGGAAGATTGGCATTGGATGTTAGCTCAGGGCTGATCTTCCTCACAAAAAAAAGAAAAGAAAATGAATAGGCAAACTGTAGAATGGGAGAAAATATTTTCCAAACAGGTATCTGACAAAGGACTGGTATCCAGAATAGGTAAGGAACTCTTAGAACTTAATAGTTTAAAAAAACAAACAATTAAAACTAGACAAAAGACAACAACGAACACTTCACAAAAGAAAATGCACACATGAGTGATAGCACTTGAAAAAGTGCTCCACGTGAGTTATCAGGGAAATGCAAGTTAAAACCATGGTGAAATAGTACTATACTGCCAACAGAATGGTTAAAATTTAAAAGTCTGGTAACACCAAATGGTGAGGATATGAAGGAACTAGAATTCACTTTGGAAAAAGGTTTGGCAATTTCTTATAAAGTTAAATAGACCTAACTGTTCTCCTCCTAGGTATTTATCTGAGAGAAATATTAAAATATTATATGTCCACAAAAAAAAAGTTGTACAAGGAAGTTTATGGCAGAGATCTGCTGTACAACATGGCACATATAGTTAACTATGGTGTTGTGCACTTAAAGACTTAAGAGAGTACATCTTACGCTAAGTGTTCTTACCACCAAAAACAAAAAAACAAAGAGGGACACACAAATCTTTTGGAGGTGATGGTTATGCTTGTTACCTTGATTGCAGTGCTGTATCATAGGTGTATGCATATGTCCAGACTCATCAAAAAGTACACATTATTGTGTGCAGTTTTTTGTGTATTAAGTATACCTCAATAAAGCTGGAAAAAAGAAAAGGGAAAGTTTATGGCAGGTTGATTCACAGTAGCCAAAAACTGGAGACATGCAAACGTGTATCAACAGGTGAGTGGATAAACAGTAGTATATCCATACAGTGGGGTACAACTCAACAATAAATACGAACAGTTTACTGGTATGCAAACAACATGGATAAATCTCAAAACCATTTTGATGCGGAGTGAAAGAAGAGAGACACAAAAGAATATTTGATTTGATATCGTTTATTTGAATTTCCAAACTAAGTGAAACTAATTTAGGTGGGAAAAAATCGGAACTCTGATTCTGCCTCTGTGGGGATGCAGGGAGAAAGGATTGCCTGGGAAGAGACAAAGAAACTTTCTTAGAAAATGGAAATGTTCTGTTCTGTGCTAGGAATATGGGTTACTCAGGTGTATCCATTTGTCAAAATAGTATGGCTAAGATTTGTACATTTCAGTGTATGTAAATTTTTCCTGAAGAGCTATAAATAGTCATTGAGAAGGGAACAAGGAGTGGGTTGAGTATAGGTGAACCAAGAATGGCAGAATACTGATAATTGTTGATGCTGGATAATGTGTAAATGGTGGTTCATTATAGAGTTCTCTTTACTTTGCTGTGTTTGAAATTTTCCATAATAAAAATTTTAAAAGGAGTTGCAGTAAGCAAAGGGAGAAATGTTTGAGTATTGAACTTGGCATTATACTATTTGATTGTGAACTTGAAAAATAAAGGCTAAAACAAATATAAAGCTTTTCAACTTTTTTCCCTAAAATAAGTATGAGGGAGTATTGAAAAGTTTGAGGAATTTAGAGAACTAGAGAGAAACCATTTGCCTAAAACAAACACACAGAAGCAGCTAAATTTGAGATAATTAATTTGGACTTTAGTTGCAGCCATTTTCAAACTGTTAACAAAGAAGTAGCCTAGGAAAAAATGTGTGAAGGTTTGATTTCTAATTGATTTGAATCCATAGTTTGAGATTTTGTCTACATTTAATTTTTTTAAAAACCTTTCTTTTTAAATTTGCTTTCCATGTAAGGATTGGTACAAATGACTCTGAAAGGTAGGTAGGTTTTTTAATGTACTCAGTCTCAAGGTTCTATTGACAATTTTATAATTGGTAGAAATGTAGGTCTTTAAATTATTTTAATAAAGCTTTATAAATGCATAAAGAGAAAAGGAAGAACATTTTATGATATAAATAGCTTTTTAGGAGCTGTATACTTGAAAATGTGGCCATAAGCTATCAGTGATTCAAAAAATTAATTATGAATAAAAATTCTCTTGAAAAAAGAGGGTAATTATGAAGTTTATATAGAGTGATGCTTTTAGAATATATATATATTAAGTAAGCTAGCTTAAGAAAGCTAGGAGAAAAAATGATCCAAATTATAATAATAATAATGTTAATACTTGAATATCTATTTCTACTTTGATTCTTACATGATCTAAGGGAAAAAAACATAATATTAGGCGTTATAAGACAGAAAGAATTTAAGTTAATAATTAACAAATAACTAGTATATATTTTATAATAAAAACTTACCATCTGTCTTTTAGGTTGTTTTGAAAAATTCAATAGACACACTTCTAAATTCATGTTTGCAATCTTTTTAGCTGCAGAAGATCATAAGTAAACAAGATGACTTGAAGACAACAATAACTAATGAAACAGAATGCCAGGTATGTGCAAGTAAACTAAATATTTCCAAATAGATGATGTTTATAACAGCTTCTCTCTTCTGTTTCTTCAAATAAGTATTCTCAGATAGTTGGGGAAATTATTAGTAACTTAATTTTTGTAAATATTTTAAATAGATGTGTTGCATTCACATAGTCCAGATTTCAGATGGTTCACAAGAGTATGTATATAGGGCAGACTTTTCCTCCCAGTCACCCAGTTCTGCTCCCTGAGGAAAGAATACTGTTTCCCTGTATTCTTCCAGAGATATTTCATGCATGTATAAGCATATATGTAAATAAGTAACTAAATACATCTATATATGCTTTCCATTTTTATACAAGCAGTAGCATACTATACATTGTTCCACACACTCCCATTTTTGCTTAATATATCTAAATAGCTCACTCTTTTTAATGGCTTCATAGTACTTTGTTGTATGGGTGTACCAGTTTATGTAACCATTCCCCTTTTGAAAGATATTTAGCATATATCCAGTCTTTTGATATTACAAATAATGCTGCAATTAATAATCCTATAATTATATCATTTTGTACATATGTGACTATGTCTGAGGGATAACTTCCCAGAAATTCAATTGCTGGGTCAAAAGGTATGAACATTTCCAAGGTTGTTGATAAACTTTGATAAATAGAAAATGAACCAATTTTCATTTCCACCAGTAATGTATATCAGTAAATTTTTTATTGATAATCTTTCAATCCATTGTAATTCCACAATATGTTTTCCATGATATTTTATTAAATTTCCGAATCATTTCATCTTTTAGAGCATGTCTGCTTCAAATTTTGCAAATTAAAATCACAGTTATTTTTTGTATTTTATTTCCTTTGAGCATTCCTATACTGGACTTCTTTTTCCCATATCCAAGTCCTTGAATGGTATTCCCTTTTCCTAGCTGTACGTATCCTGTGTGTTCTTATAGTACCCTGTATGTCCCCTTTCATAACACCTGTCATACATTGGTATAATTGTCTGTGTCCTCCCCTGGAGTATAAGCATCTTTAAGGTTGTATGAAGTTAGGGAACAGTCCACAAGATCACCCTTACTTCTGATGCCAATTGCAAGTTCTGGGGTCCCCCAAGACTACCCTTGGGTTCGATAATTCGCTGGAAGGACTCATAGAGCTCACTGAAAGTTGTTAGGTTCATGGTTACAGTTTATTACAGTGAGAGGATACAGATTAAAATCAGCCAAGGTAAGAGACACAGATTCCCAAAGGTTCCACAAGCAGAGATTCTATTTGTCTTCTCCCAGTGGAATCGTGATCACTGTTAACTTTCCCAGCAATGATATATGACAATACACAGAGAGTAGTGCCAACCAGGGCCTTGGTATCCAGAGATTTTATTGGGGTCAGCCATGTAAACTTGATTGGCTGCCCATGTGGCTGACGTCAGTTTCCAGCCCTTCCAGAGGTCAAGCTGATACCCTGTGACCCAAAGCCCCACCCTGAATCTCATTGTTTGTCTATTGGGTGTGCCCCAAGGCCCTCAGGTAAAAAAAGACACTCTTGTCTTAGAGAACACCTATCAGCAGCCCGGAGCAAAAACCAGATCTATTTGGTAAGGTTAATTCTTGAATATACAAATTGTATCTCCATAGCTTGGTAAAGCACCAGAGATACTCTACATGCTGGGTAATTATTTTTTAATGAATGAACAAATATCTAATCATATGATATAATATTTTCAACCATTGACCTAAATTGATCATTCAGATTGGTTCCAAGTATTTGCTATTAGAAGTCATGCTGCAGTAAATAGCTAAACATGTAAATTTAGGATAGAGTTCTAAAAGTGAGATTGTGGGGTCAAAAGGCATGAATACTTTCAAGGCTTTTGATTCATATTGCCAAACTGCCTTCTTGAAAGGTTATAACAATTTACAATCCCACCAGCATTGAGGAAGCATGCCCATCTCCCGGCCGTCTTTCCAGGTTTAGTATCTCTTTGTTTTTTAATCTGTGCCAATTTGATAGGAAAAAGGATATCTCAGTTATTCTTTTTTTAAGATAGTTATATAAACCATTTGTGTTTTTTATTTTATAAATTTTCTGTTTCTATTCTTTGGGAATTTCTTTAGGTTTTTTTTTTTCATATTTGCTGTTAAGAGTAAGACTGTTAACCTAGTGTTGGTCAAAAATATTGAAATATTTCTCAGATTTGTTTATGATGTCTTAGTTACAGATGTTTTTATTTTTAATGTAGTCATATTACTTTTATTTATCCAATTATTTTCATTTTCATTTTTTAAAATGCCTGCCCCACATCAAAATCAACTATAAATACTAACCTGTATTACCCTCTGATTTAGTTGTGGTTTTGTTTTTTTACATTTAATTTTTTCATTCATCTGAAATTTGTTTCTTAAGTGCATCCCTAAGAACATTACAGTACTTTACCTTTTTACTGTTACAAATGGACCTTTTTCCCTCAAGGGAAAAATTATTGCTATTCACAGGAAAGCTGTTTGATTTTTAATGTTTTTGTACCAGTCTATCTTACTGAATTTTCTTTTTTTGAGGAAGATTGGCCATGAGCTAACATCTATTGCCAATCTTCCTCTTTTTCTTTTTTTTTTTTTTTTTCCCCAAAGCCCCAGTACACAGTTGTATATCCTAGTTGTAGGTCCTTCTAGTTCTTCTATGTGGGATACCACCTCAGCATGACTTGATGAGTGGTGAGTAGGTCCACGCCCAGGATTCAAACCCGCGAACGCTGGACCACCAAAGCGGACCACACAAACTTAACTCCTATGCCACTGGGCCGGCCCCCTGAATTTTCTTATTATTTTGATTTTTTCTGTTGATTTTCTTGGTTGTTCTAAGTATAAAATTATATTATCTCTAATATTAATCTTAGTTTATTCCTCCTATGTATGGACAAAATTACCCCAAAAAATGTTAAATAATAGTGTTAATGGTAGGCATCCTGATCATATTCTATCCTTAATGAGAATACATCTAGTATTGAGAATATATCTAGTAATGAGACACTATCTGGTAATGAGTATACACTTAGTTTTGTGTTTTAGTGTGCCTCATGGGCTTTTTTATATATGAATTGAGAAAAAAACATCAGATGTAACCACCTGCCCACACTTGTATGGAAGCCTAATAATGCGTTTAAAATCTACATTTATAGCAACTAATTTATAAATTTACAAAGTAAGGTCTTTTAAGAATCAATAACGTAGAATGCATGGCATCCGTTATCTCCATTAAAACCGTCTTTTCCTCCCTATTAGCTAAAATCAAAATGATAGTGTAAAGTACTGGTGAAGCTACCCAACAACCACCAGAAGGATGTGTCTGACAATGTGCTGAGATCTAACTTTCTCCTCTGCTGCACCCCCCACCCCCGCCCAGGGTGTTGTTCATTTGTAATTTGCCTGGACTAAATCTCTGAAGCCTATCTCCTCCACAGTGTGAGGCTGCAGTTGTCTCTGCTTAATTTTTTTTCTAGATGTTTATTTTTAGCCTGACTTCCTAGGAGTCGTCCCTGTGTCTGTCTAGTTTAGTGTTTGGCCAGAGATTGTGCTAACACACCAGGAGCTAATAAGGCTTCCTGATGGATCTGTGTGAGGCTGGGGGCACATTCACACTTCCGGCTCTTTTCAGGTCTGCCACTGTGCACACCTGTGCCAGCTCTTTGAGCCCAAGTGTATGTGGATGGCTGGAGCTGGTGTGGTCTCTGCTCTGTGTGCAGCACAACCTGGGATCGAGGAGAGCTCAGCAGGCCTTTATGGCTGCCTCACCTCCTGAAACCATCTTTTAAACATCTGGCCATCCGCCAGTCCTTCGCTTGCTCCAAACAGGCTTGCAACCTCAGTTAATGGAGCCACCAAGATCACCAGTTTAATGCTCCAGATCAAGTAAACTCCCTTCGTCAGCGGCAGGGAAACTGATTTTGGGCAGCCTGTCCCTCTCTATAGAACTCCCACATGGCAGAGCTGGAAAGGCAAGAAGGCCACAGACTAAGCTAGTTAGCATGAAAAACGCTTCTCGGTTTGTCATATACCTTTGGTCAGATTCCACAGCACTGAGATGGTTGTTTTTGACCATTTTGTCCAGCTGTTCACTTTTTGGGGAGAGGATTTGTCACCCGCACTCCATTATGTGGGAAGTCAGAAGGCAGTTACACATTTTAGTTGGCCAGTAGGTTTACTTTTAATAAACATGGTTAGTAAGTTCCAAAAGCAAATATTTTAGGTACACCAACATATTTAATATAGTATAAAATTTTGCCTTTTAAAATAAATAGCATACTATATACCAAAAGCATGAACTAGAGTGTATTTTGATGAGGCTTATGTTAATGACACTGAACATTTAATAATTAACTAGTTTTTAAGACATATGAAAAATAAAGATTAATACTTTGAAGGATCTACGTAAAAAAACTATAAACTATAAATTTTTATTGAGGAACATAAGAGAAGCTTGAAATAAATGTAAAGTCGGGCTTTATTTTTAGATAGGAATAGTGAGCATTGTAAAGAGGCCAGTTTCCACTAAATTAATCTATTAATTCAGTGTGATATAGGTCAAAACTCAACAACTGAGTCCTTGGTTTTGTGTGTTTGTTTGTTTGGTGATAGTGGTCAGGGAGGAACTGGGTGCAGGCAGGAGGTGTACAGAAACTTGGCAAAATGATTCTAAAGTTCATCTGGAAGAATAAACATCAGAGAATAACCAAGAACATTCTGGAAAATGCAAGTAATGAGAGGGACAATGAAGTGGTATAATGAGAAATAGAATAGTCAAAATATAAACCCAAATACATATTGGCATTAGTATATAATATAGGTATCATTTTAAATCAGTAGAAAAAAACTAATTATCAAATTACTTTGCAGTAATCCAGATATCTAGGAGTCATTCTTGACATCTCCTTACACCTCTCATCCAATTGGTCTCTAAGTCTGTCTGTTCTGCCTCTTAAATGTTTTCAAATCCATCCTTTTTCCCTCTATTTCCACTACTATTATCTAATCAGGCCATTATCATTTCTTGCTTGAGTTACTACTGTAGCCTCTGACTGATCCCCTGTATCCACTCTTGTCTTTTCTAATTCATTTTTCACATTATAGCCAGGGGACTTAAAAGCACAAATATGCCGTAACTACCCTTGGTCTGAGGAATCCAGTCCTGACCATCTTCCAACCTCCAGCTATACCATTTTTCTCTGCAGCATAGCATAGTGGTTAAGAACTCAGACTCAGAAGACTACTTGCCTAGGTTCAAATGCTGCCTCATCACTTATAGCTGTGTGACCCTGGGCAAATTAGTTTACTCCTCTTTGCATCTGTCGCCTCATTTGTAAAGTGAGAATAATAGTAATCTACCTCAGTAGGTTATTTTGAGGATTAAATTAGTTAATATATTTAAATCTTTTAGAACTATACTTAACACATAAGCAGTATATATTTGCTATTATACTTATTATTATTGCTTTCTACACCCCAGCCATATAACACCATGCTCTCTTGCACCTTCAGGCCTTTATACATGTTCCCTGTTTGGAATGTTTATTGCCCCTTCTTATTTTCTTCTGTTCAGACTTCATGTCTCAGTTCAAATAGCATTTTCTCAGGGAAGCCTTGCCTGAGCTGCTAAGTGAGTCAAACACCCTGTTAAATGCTCCCATGGCTCCTTGTACTTCTTCCCAGCATTTTCATGCTCGTGATTACTATTTTTAATAACTTGTTTAATGCCCAGCTATCCCACAGGAACAGAAAACCATGAATCCCCAAGGCCTAACAGTATCTGGCACATAATGGGCATTTACTATATCCTTGTTGATGACAGATGGACTGACTGACTAAGTATTAGCACTGAGTGTGTATCCCAGTTCTTCTATCAAAGTAAATTCCAGATGAATCAAAGATTTCAATGTCAAAAATCAAACCATGGAAGTAGTATAAGAAAATGTGGGTAAACGTTTTTACATTATTGAGGTAGGTAATGTAGTTCTGTTCCAAAACATAAAGGAAAATTGTGGTAAATTTGACTAGTGTTATTTTTTTTAACAAGTAACATCTCAATAGAATGATAGGCAAAGGACATGAAGGGGCAGTTTTCAGAACTACAAATGACCGATAAATATGAGTAATCAAAGAAATGCAAGTTTAAATAATGGTGATTTTTTTATTATTGTTGTTTTTCCTACCGGATTGGCAAAGATAAAAAAGATTGATAATCCTTTGTGTTCTCTAAGGTATGCGGGAGTGGGCACTTTTACTCTGTTGGTGCTAATGTAAATTGCAAAGATATCTTACAAAATTTAAGTGCAAATGCCATTTTTCCCAGAAATTTCACTTATAGGAATTTATAATTACAAGTGCACAAAGATAAATACATAACAGTATTTCTCACAGCAGTGTTTATAGTAAAAAAATTTGGAAACACTCTAAGTATCTAACGGTAGGAAATGAGTATATTCTAGTATGACAGGCAGCCCTTGCCAGCTTACATGTCATGTATGGCATTTCCCTACGCTGGGGGCCTGGGCATATTCAGCCCTTTTCACTCTTCTCTGTGACAAATACAAGAATGGGAAAAAAAAGGAATACATGTTAATAAAAAAGAAACAAATTAACATTGTTTGCTACACTGAAAAAAATGTGTTTGTATGTTTGTTTATATACATACACACAAAATGGCACATACAGTGCATTAGCCATTAAAAATTATGACATCTATATTTGTTATGAAAAGTGCTCCACTTTAAAAGGAAAAAAAGCTGTTTTCAAAAAACATATATAATGATTTCATTTGCATAAGTCTCTTCAACAAATGGTGCTGGGACAACTGGATATCCACGTGCAGAAGAGTGAAGTTGGATTCCTGCCTCACACCATATACCAGAATTAATTGAAATGAATCAAAGACTTAAATGTAAGAGCTAAAACTATAAAACTCTTTGAAGTGCTTCATGAAAAGGGAAAAGCTTCACGACATTGGATTTGGCAGTAATTTCTTAGATCTGACACCAAAACTCAATCGGAAGAGGAAAAAATAGATACATTGGACTTCATCAAAATTAAAAACTTTTGTGCATCAAAGGACAGTATCAAGACAGAGGAAAGATAAAATACAGAATGGGAAAAGATATTTGCAAATCATATATCTTACAAGAGTCTAGTACCAGGATATGTAAAGAAGTCCTACAACTCAACAACAAAAAGACAAACAACCCAGTTGAAAACTGGGCAAACAACTTGAATAAACATTTTCCCAAAGAAGATACATAAATAGCCAACAAGCACATGAAAAGATGCTCAGCATCATTAATCATTAGGGCAATGCAAATTAAAACCAGAGTGAGATATCACAACACACCTGTTCAAATGACTAAAATAAAATGCTGACAACCAAATGATTGCAAGGATGCAGAGAAACTGGATCACTCATCCATTGCTGGTGGGAATGTAAAATGATACTGCCACTTTTATACCATGATAAAACAGTCCTTGCACTCTTGGGTATCCATCCCAGAGAAATGAAAAACTCTGTTCACACAAAAACCTGTACGTGTTTTTAGCAACTTTATTTGTAGTAGCCAAAAACTGGAAACAGCCAAGATGTCCTTCAACAGGTGAATGATTAAACTACGTTAATCCATATGATGAAATACTACTCTGCAATTAAAAGGAACCAAACTATTGATACAGCAACAACCTGGATGAATACCCAGAGACTTATTCTGAACAAAAAATGCCAATACCAAAAGGTTACATACTGTATGATTCCATTTATATCACTTTTTTGAAATGATAAAATTATAGGAAAGGAGAGTTGATGGTTGCCAAAGGGTAAAGAGAGGGTAGGGGCAGGAGGGAAATCCATGTGGCTATAAGAGAGCAACATGAAGGATCCTTGTGGTAAAGGAAATGTTCTGTATGTTGACTATATCAAGTTGTGTTAGTGTATTGTTTTGCAAGATGTCACCATTGGAGGAAACTGAGTAAAGGGTACAAGAGATCTTTCTGTATTATTTCTTATAGTTGCATGTGAATCTACAGTTATCTCAAAATAGAAAAAACTCTTTTAAATATAAATCAAGGACTCATGAGGATATGCATTTGTTCCTTGGGTTATGTGTTCTTCTACCCTGGGTTTTTTGTGTCTTTTGCCTGATTTCTTCTCCTTCTATTTCTTGCTACAGTGCCTTTGCTTAGGTGTCATGCCATTTCTTTTGCTTATGCTCATGCTCCATCCAGACCTTCTCTTTGCTCTGGGAGAGCGTAAGTGAAATTCTCCTTCATTCTCTTCCCACCTTACCTGGAACAATTTATCTTTTTCCTTCTAAGCTGCAGGTGTTGCAATTTCATCCACTATTCTATAGACTGAAGAGGCGGGGCCAAGGGGGAAGAGAGTCCCCTGGGCTAAATGTAGCCCTTGCTGTAGGACCTAAATTCTGTTTACTCTTCTGTGATCCCCTTAATTGTCCTAGATCACAGCCCTCTCCACCCCCCTAAGGTATATCCCGCTGTATGGATTCCTGACTATTCCCTCAATTTAACATAGTGCCCTGAAGTATTCTAAGCCCTGGAAGCCCTCCCTCCCTCTGCTTAAGTCCCGCCAAGCTATAAAGAGCTTCTGTTGGGGTTTTTCTCTGACTTCTCCCAGGGCTATCTTCTCACCCCACTGATCTACTTACAACTAACTTGAAGGTTTGATGAAGTTCTAATAATGTGATATAGTTAGGCACCGCATAAGGACGTTTTGGTCAACAGTGGACTGCATGTATAACTGTGGTCTCATAAGATTAGTATCATGCAGCCTAGGTGTGTAATAGGCTAAACCATCTAGGTTTGTGTAAGTACACTCTGTGCTCGTCACACGACGACAAAATCACCTAACGATGCATTTTTCAGAGTGTATCCCCATCATTAAGTAATCTCACCTGCTACTGCTATTTCTGAGAAGTAGGGTTAGGAGAGATGCTGGACCATCCAACACATGAATCTAGTGTTTCTTTCTCCAGCTGTTCTTTTTCAAAATATTTGGTTTAAATTTGTACCCCCTTTTGTTGTTTAATTGCTGCTGATCATCTTTTTAGCAGTTCTGTTTTGTTATTTTTGTTGTTTATTTTATTGGAGATTTGAAGAAGGAAGAATCTGTGAATCTGCTTCGCTCATTACCTTTAATGGAATTCTCACCTATTAATTTTATAATTAGGAAAAGCAAATGTTTTTCAAATATTTCTAACATTAAGCAAAAGCTCAAAGACTTTGCTGCTTTAATTCTCTCAGTCCTGCTTCATTAGAAAATGCCTAGAGATCACATTTTGAAATAACGTTTATTTCATAATTCTAAGCTCTCTTTTTGGTCTGATTTAAGATTTTGTTTACTGCTTAAGTCCATCTTGAGTATTTTGAGTGTCTTATCCCTCATTGTTTTTCTCCTGCTTGAGCAAAGATGATTATAGAATAGTTAGGTGAAGTAACAGCATGGCTACCTCTCTTTTTTCCACTTTTGTTGTTGTTGTTACAGGAAGCTTTTGTGGGTATTGTCCTGAGAGATCCAGGCTACAGGATCCATTTTTGTTCTTGATTATAATTACTTGAAATTATCTTATCATTTTTTATAGGAACCAACAGTGAAAGAACCTGAAATTAACACAACCCTTCAGATACGTTTCTTTGGAAAAAGAGGAGAAAGAAAACTTCATTATAGAGAATTTCGAAGGTAAATGCAAATATTTATATTCATTTAGGGAAACTTTATAGGTAAGAAATGAAGAAAACTGAATATATTCATTTCTCCGAACTACAAACCATAAAACTAAATACTATATATGGATTTATATAGTATTTTTCTGTAAGAACAAAACCTATGAAATGTTTTAAACTTAAGTTACTGTGCTCAGAAATATATCTAACCTGTTATGAAAAATAATATCTGTTTTATAGTAACTTAATGTTTGTAGCTAATAGAGATATGCCCCTTGTATCAGTTAGTTCTTAATGCAAAACAAACTCACCTAACTTAACTTGGAACTTTGGGTCAGTTGGGTGGTTCTCCTGATCACGGCCAGGATCAGCTCTTCTTGTCTGGACACGCTCATGCAATTGCAGTCTGCTGATGGATTGCCAGCAGCTGGGTCTTCTAAGATGGCCTCAGCTGGGACAACTCAACTATGCTCCATGTGACCTCTGATTCTCTAGCACAAGGGTTGGCAAATTTTTTTTTATAAAGGGTCAGATAGTAAATATGGTCTCTGTCACAGCTACTCAACTCTGCCATTACAGCGTGAAAGCAGCCATAAACAATACATTACATATAGATATGTTAATACATAATGGGCATGTCCATGTTCCAGTAAAACTTTACACTAATGCTAATTTTAAGCAACTTGTTTACCTTCGCTGAGCTCATTTCTATATCTGTAAAATGGGAATAATACTTAGATTATGATATTGCAAACATTAAAATGTGTCCTATTTACCTTCTCCCTGATAAGAATAACTCCATGCAAAATGAGATAATGTGCCTCCCTGTGCCTCTCCATTAACCAAAGGTTTAAAACAAATATCAGAAAGTAGTACAGAATGGTGCGGGAAAAGACACTAATTTGGGAGGCAGGAGACTGCATCTTGTTCAACTCAATGCAATTAAATAAAGATTTGAGTGCATACTATGTGCTGCTCTCTGCCAGGCTGTGTGTCAAATACTAGGGCTAGTCTCTTCTGGGGACTATCTAGTAAACATGCAGAAAAAACATTTAAAGGCATTATAGTCAATGCTGTCATAGATGTTTAGGGGTTTTTGGTAGCACAGAAGGTCACTTAGTATATCTGGTTTGGAGGTTGGGAGTAAGTGATCAGGGAAGGCTTTCTGGAGGATATGGCACCTAAGCTGAATCTTGACAGATGAGCAGGAATTAACCAGGCAAAAATGGTTTGGGCAGGGAAGCATTTGAGGGAAAGAGAGCAACATGAGAAAAGACATAGAGGCATGGAAACATGATTTGCAGTTGAGTCTAGCTAGAGTTGTAAGCATAAGGCACTGCAGTAAGAGGTGAGAACAGAGACTGGAGAAGAGTGTACTCGCTGTAGAAGATTTTGTACACCATAAGATCAAGCTTGAATTAACGCAAAAAAGGGAGGCCCTGAAGAATGATACATGAAGAATGCCTGGTCGGATGTGCCCATCATTCTGGCAGCAGAGGAAAGGATAAATTTTATGAGCGAGAAGACCATTGTAATATTCCAGATAAAAAATGGTAAGAGCCTTGAACTAGTGTATTGGCAATAAGGATTTTGAAGTGGGAGAGTTTTCAAGACATAGGAGATAATACAATTGTAGGGGTTAGTGACTGATTGGATTTGAGGAAGGAAGAATACCTGAAGACCCAGGTTTCTGAATTATATCCCAATACCAATTTACCCAATAGTTAAACTCCAGTGAGTCATTTAACCTCTCTAGAACAATTTTTCTCAACAAAATTTTAAAACATGCCTCTTCTTGTATACTTGAAAAATACCTCTGTCTACGTTTCTTAAAGTTTCAAGGTAGAGTATCATGGTTTAAAACAAAGCCAAGCCATTATCATATTGATTGTGTTTGTTCAAACTACAATCATACAGATACTAATACACTACCCTCTTCCCTTTGAGTTCCTAAATTAGTTAATTTTTCAAAGTTGCTTCTAACTTTCATTTTCCTTAAAGGGAATAATTTAATTTAGAATTCTTACTTTAAACTTTTTTTAAATTAGAGTTTCTATAAATAATGGGCCCTGTGAAATTTGTCATACTGATCGTGCAATTAAAAAAAGATACAATTAACAAAAAATGCTGTAAATGCAGTTTTTCAGGAACTTGTCTCTTGGATAGAGTAAAGTGCCCCTAAAGTTAAAATTACAGTTATACTGGGCTAGAATTTGATAATCATAAAATGTCTTTAAAATTTGGGGTAAGTCATAAAGTGATAGAAAATAGTTTCTTTGTATATAGTGTTTTAAAAAACTTTTCACCAACGTACTGGCCAATTTAACCATTGAAACGCCACAAAAAATGTTTCAGTGTGTTCTTTGGAGCTTTTAGTTTTGTTTTTTAGTTTTTGTTTAGCTTTTAGTTTAGTTTCATCTAGTTTAGTTTTTTTTTTTTATGAGTGTAATGTATAACTCTTGCTTATAAAAAGAGATGTGCACCTTTGCTATCCTTCACCTAAAGGAAGCCGGCCCAGATGAACAAGTTTTTTAACCTGACTCTCAGGTCTCTGTTTCTTCATCTGTGAAATAGTATGATAATACCCACTTAATAAGGTTGTAAATAAGCTTATATAAGGAGATTGAAACAGTAATCAAAAACCTCCCCAAAAATAAAAGTCCAGGACCAGACGGCTTCCCTGGTGAATTCTACCAAACATTCAAAGAAGACTTAATACCTATC